TTTTTTTTCAGATCGACTCTCGGACAAGGATAAATTATTAAACAAACCCTAACCCTCGGGCGCGGCCGACGGCGGCGGCGGTGGCGGCGGTTGGCGCTTCCTCTTCTTCTTCTCGTAGCTGATGCCGCGTGCTTTAGACTGGAGGTCGCGGACGTCCCGGAGGTAGAGCCGCACGGCGCGGGCACCGAAAGGGTTGGCCTCGGGCTTCCCGCCGTTCTCCTCGTAAGCGGCACGGAGGCGGCCGACGAGGGCGTCGAGGCTGCCCCACGCCTGCCGGAGGGGGCAGGGGCATGGCGCGGGCGGGCTCGGGTGGCCATAGTACGGGCAGACTGGCGCGTGGACCTTTGTCTTGCCGAACTGGTCGAGGTACCGGAGGAACTCCAGCACGTGAGCCCCACTGCAGCGGCCGAGGGACAGCGGCGGCCGGTGGTTCCTCAGGTACTGCCCGAACGTGTTCCAGTCCCTACGCTTCTGGTTCTCGTACCGGCTCAGCCCGCCGGAGGAGGAGGAGGCGCCGCCGCTTCCTCCGCCGCCGCTTCCGCCTGCGGCGGCGGCGGCGCTGCTGGTGTCTGAGTTGGAGCTCTCGCCGAGGTCGGGGAACGGGGACGGGTCCATTGATCGATCGTGTGGTGTTTTTCGGAAATTAGTTATGCATTTTTCTGTCCTTTTTTTTTGTTTTGGCTTCTTATTAGGGTTTTGGATTTGAATGTGAAGAGTGAGGTGTGGTGGATAAATATATATAGAATGGGAGAGAGTTTGAAACGGTGTCGTATCTTGGATTGATTGATGGATGTATCAAGAGAGACTAGAGAGCCATTTTTCTGGTGAGATGAGGAGAGAGAGAAAAGGGTATGTGTGTGTGTGTGTGTTTCGAGAGACGATGATGACGACGACGACGATGACGATGATGAGACTGATAGATCTTTGGTTGGGTAGATATGTGATGGAATTGGGGAAATAAATAATGCCAAATTAGGGTTTGTTTTTATTTAATTTGGATTATTTCTGTGGATAGTATTAAGAAATAATGAAACAAGATTCTTTGGGGGACTGTTGATTGGTAGTTGGTTTTGTGGATTAAAGAAATTAAACTACTGTACATGTCGGTATGTGTGAGAGTGTGTGTGTGTGTGTGTGTGTGTGTGTGTGTTTTAGGGCTTTTGTGGAAATGGAAAGAGAGCAGGTTGAGATGGAGACAGGGAAATGGTAGAAAGATGGGGCAATGACTAAGGTAACAACATATATGACTAATACTGTTTTATTTTCTTCCACCTTTACCATGGAATTTGTATATTTGATTTTGGTGTTAAGTCACATACTTAACCATTATGAGCCATAACATTCTTTAATACATAATGTGATACTCAAATGTCTAATTACAATATAAAAATATAATCTGATATAGCGTATGGAATAGCTCGGATGAACCGGCCATAGCTTGGTTGACCCGTCCTTCATGCAGATCGGGTGAGTTGATCTCGGTAATCGACATGATGATGACTTCTTGGTAACTCGGGTATGGTTATGACCTAAGGACAAGTAGGTAGATGGACCTACTGATAGGAAATGTATGAAAAAGGGACTTGTAGGTAGTAGGTTTGTAGACCTACCGGAGACCTAAGTGAGGGACCTAATGAAGACCTAAACGAGGCACCAATTGAAATACGGATGCGGGACCTATAGAGGACCTATGGACTAACATAAGAGACCTATAATCACATGACCCATGGAGGACTAACATAAGAGACCTATAAAGACTTAGTATGTGGACACAAGAAATAACAAGACCAAGAAAAGAGTGTCAATAAGGGACACGTGGAATAAGGACCTAGATTTTGCGGGCAATGAAATAACTGTTAGGCAAGCTCTCGGGTAGTTTGGTCCCTCGTGCAGGCCTTCGGCAGCTGGATAGAAAAAAAAATTTCACAAGAAGCCAACAACTCACTATAAATAGGTAAGGTGTAGACAAAGAAAGGTTAGTCACACTTTATACACTCTAAGCTTTTAGTATATTTCCATACATCTCTTCATATCTCCTTACTAACTTGATTATTGGAGGTTTAACGCTGAGAACATCTCCCACATTTTGCAGGTCTACGAGGAGCAAATCGGTCATGGAATTGTGGAGAGCCGATTTGAGGTGCTACTGCACATCAATTAGTGTACTATGTGGTGTTGTTTATCGTTTTTGTACCTGTTGCAGAGGAACCTAAGATGGAGAAGACGACTATGACAACTGAGAGTTGGAGTAAGAACTTGGATGAGAGTTTGGAGGAGGTATGGTGGCTAAAACGCCCTTTGGTAACGGGCCACCTCTAAGATGGATTGGTGGTGAGGCAGCGCTGCTTACCCCTAAGATGAGCATGTCGGGGGTGAACCAAGCCTTGAGCCGAAGCTAGATCGGGGAAATTCTGGACAAGTGAAGGGTAAGGAAGTGGTTGTTCAATTAGCAGAGAAAGAAGCTTCGGTAGGGGGAATGAACAGGTGATATAGCTCACTAGAGGGGAGTCGGATCGAATCATCGCAAAGTCGATCGGGCGGTCGTGGGTGTCGCGCCTAGCTATGGTAGTGGAGCAACCTATTGCATTAATTGGTGGATCAACCTATAGTGGGGACTCAACATCTTCTCCTGGTGGTGGAGCAATACATTCTTGGGATCTAGCAGGTGATGTACGAGAGTATGAAGAGAGAGGAAGGTGAGGAGAAGTCCATTGTGTCGTCGATGGTCATAGTCCACTACAAGTTATTATATGTTGGAGTGTATGGCTAGTCAGATCAAGGAGCTCCAAGCTAAGGTGGAGGGGCGGCGGCAACCGCGGGTACAAGGTCATCCTTTTTCTAACGAGGTTCTGGATGCCGTTTTATCTCAGAATTTTTTGAATCTAAGCATGATTTACGACTGGTCTACAGATACTACTAGACATTTAAAGAGCTTTGAGAATGTGTGTGTCTTACACTAATAAATGATGTTGTTTGTTGCAAAGCTTTTTTGCAGACTTTAAAGGACTCTTCTCAGGATTGGTTCCACCAGCTGCCAGCAGGATCTATTTATAGCTTTGACGTGTTTAGATATTTGTTCTTCAATCGATTCTCTAGTGCTTAAAAGCACGAATAAACCAACCTCACATTGATCAACATGCAACATCGCGGAAATGAGTCCCTGAGGGAATACGTAGCTAGATATGCACGAGCTTATGTGGAGGTCCCATCAGCATCGGAGGAAATCAAAGTATGAGGTCTTACACGAGGTCTCAGACCAGGTCATTGCTGAGACACTCTAGCTAAGAAACCAACGAGGTTGTATGATGAACTGTTGGAACATTTAACTAAGTATATGAACATGAAGAAGAATGAACCAGATTTCTTGCAAAATGATCGAGCTAAGAAAACCCATTAGGAGGAGAGACAAAGACATGTTGACAGGAGGTCGCATGGAAAAGATGGTAGGAATGATGACACGAGACGTATGTGGTTTAAGTTTGAGCATTATACGTCGTTGGCACTACCTAGAGGTCAGGTTTATGAGGCCTTGGAAAAGGGATGGACACAGGGATGTTGGGAAAGCTTTAACCTCTATCTGAGAGGAAAGGACATGTTCCAGTGCGAGGAGATCCCTGTAAGTAATATCGTGACTATGTCTATTGGACCAACGATTAAGGAGATCAATGACGAGATAAAAAAATAACTTATACTCGCAGTACATTTAAAGAAGTTTGTGATTAAGGACAAGAATATGAGAGAAGATAAGGAGGTAGGTGATAAGAGAAGGACAACAATGGAGCTGGAGGATAGTCCACCCAAGAAAGGGGTAATTTATATGATTTTTGAAGGATCAAATGGTTGTGATTCCAACAACGTCAAGAGAGATCATTATAGAAATAGCTCGGAGAAGGTGGAAAGGGTTCGAGCGTAGAATTGATGAAGATGTTAGGCATAGAATTGCAACCAGTTGGTTGAAATGGCGTAAAGTTTCGAGCGTTCTCTGTGATAAGAGGGTGTCACAAAGGCTAAAAGGTAAGTTCTATAGGACGGCGATTCGCCCGTGTTGCTATACGGTGTTGAATGTTGACCTACAAAAGGCAACATGTCAACAACTAAATGTAGCAGCGATGCGTATGCTGCGTTGGTTTTGCGAGCACACAATAAGGGATAGAATCTGGAATGAGGATATTCGAGATAGGGTCGGGGTGACACCAATTGAGGAGAAATTTGTTCAACATCGGGTGAGGTGGTTCGGACATGTCCAACAGAGGCCTTCCGATGCACCGGTGCGTAGGGAAGTTCTACAGTGGGTCGATGATGTAAAGAGAGGTAGTGGTCGACCTAAACTTACTTGGGAAAAGTTGGTTAAGAGAGACCTTAACTCTAGCAGTGGATAGGAGCGTTTGGAGGCTAGCAATCAACGTACCAGAACCGTGACTTTTGCTCCTTTCTCTTTTGCTTCAATCTCTTTTGTTTTTGAGCCCTTTTTGCATTTCTCTTACCATTGGTTCTCTTGGGTTTCATCTCTAGTCTACCCCAACTTGTTTGGGACTAAAAGGTTATATTGTTGTTGTTGTTGTTGTTGTAAGGTGGTAGGGGTTCAAATCGCCTACGCTACGCTATTGTTTCAATTTGGAGCTGAGGAGTCGAAGGGGATTTTGGTAACCAACAATGGTGCCTTAACAGCTGAAATTGCAGGTTACAATGTTCAAAGGATCTTTGTTGATACCGAGAGCTCGATAGATATCATGTTCTACGAATGTTTCAAACATATGGAGCTCGATGTCGAGATACAACCCGTCAGTACCTCATTATTCACTTTCAGTGGAGCTGAAGTGATGCCTTTGAGAGGTTCAGTTGCCATTGGCCTTTGGAGCTCCTTCTCTGAGAAGACTATGATGGTGCGATTTTTGGTGGTAAAGTCAGATTCAGCATACAATGTCATTCTAGGTTGGCCAAGTTTGAGAAAAAGGTAGAGAAAAAGGTCTTACCGTGACCATGGAATATGGCGAGTCTAGAAAAAATATTATTGTTGATATTCATGTTATGAAAGATGTGCGACCTACTAAGAGCTGGACCGCGCGTCGCGACGCGGAAAATTAAATTTATAAAGTTTTCCTAACTAACCCCCACTAACTAGTAGTAGCGGTAAGTAAGGGTCAATCCTACGAGGAGCAAGAATTAAGTTGTAACTATTCTCGTATTAATCGAATTGAAACTAAGAAATCAATAAAAAAAATGGGATTGAGGAGAACGAGACATTTGAATATCAATTCAAAACAAAGAGGAACTAGACGAGTTAAAAAAACAAAAAGAAAAAAAAAATGATATCATTGGTTCCATTGATCGATATATTCGTTAAAAAATTAACAAGCTATGGTGATCACTTGAATTGATACTTGATTGCTTGAGTTCTTAAAATGATTTCATCTTGAGTTTGGATAAAAGTAAAAAAAAGGAAAGGACCGCTGGGAGCACACGGGCTCGGAGAGAAGCCGCACACGTACACGAGAGAGGTTTTATTCTCTCCCTCTCTCCCTCTCTCTTTTTTTTCTTTTATTATTTATTTTTATTAGTATTTTAGACTAGGATTTTTAACCAGTTTGAGGGATTGTTTGAACACTAGTTTCGAT